GTGAGTTAGCAAGTGTGGCTCTTATCAATGTGATTCTATCCCCCAAGGATAAGTAGTTTTTCCTCTACGAAGTTAACTTCTTTTGGAACCTCTCTACCACTGGACACCGAAAGCTACTCTCCCTAGGGTTTGCCCCTAACGGAAGCCCCAAGTAGGTCATAGGCCAGGATGAGATAGAACAACCTAAACTTCTTGCTATAAACTCCACCTCCCTATCCTCCAAGTTAACACCAGCTACACAACTCTTTTCGAAGTTGACACTCAAATTTGACAACCTCTCAAAGCTTCTAACAAAATCCTTGAGGTTCCTCACTCTCTCAATATCATCCCCGTCACAGAAAATCAGAATATCATCTGCAAATTGGAGATGGGTGACCGGAATACCATCCCTCCCTATTCTCCACCCTTTGATCACATCTTCTCTATCAGCTTTTGAGATGATTCTACTAAGCACCTCTGCTATTAAAGTGAAGAGGAAGGGTGATAGAGGGTCCCCTTGCCTGATACCTCTACAAGCTGGGAAGAAGTCCTTCACCATTCCATTAACCAAGACGGAGTAATGGCAAGAACTGATACATCCATAAATCCAACTACACCACTTATTCCCGAATCCACATTTTCTCAATACTTCTACCAAAAAGTGCCAGTCCACCAAATCATAGGCCTTTTCTAAATCCAACTTACAGATAAAGCCTTTTCTTTTAGATCTTCTCATATCCTCCACGCACTCATTAGCAATTAGGATCTGATCTGCTATCTGTCTCCCTTGTACAAAGGCTCCTTGTGCTTGGCTTATTAAGGATGGGAGAATTGCTTTAAGCCTCAAAGACAACACCTTAGCCAGGATTTTGTAAATGCTAGTTACCAAACTAATTGGCCTGAAGTCCTTAGGTTGGATAGCATAGTTAGATTCAGAATTTCATATTTATTTTACTAATTACTATTTAGTACTTACTAGTTAATGACCTATTCACTATTTGGTATTCACTATCTCAGAAGGGATAAGGATTTATGGATTTCCTATTTCTCATATTTCATTGCCTAGGTGTTGCCTAGGCACCTAGGCCCCTTGTGGTCACCTAGCCTCATCTAGGTGCCTTGAAAACTATGATACCACCATGACCAGACGAGAAACCACCTCCAATACCACAACAATGACCAAGTAAGAAACCACCATTTCCACCATGTCCTCTAGCTCCACAACCTCCATTCCTGCCACCATGAACTCCTCCTCTTGTCACACCTAAAGTAGACCTATCAAAAGTAGTAACTGTATCTGTAGATCCAAGAAAAACTCTATGAAGTCTGGAAAACACCTCCTCAAGAGAGGGAAGGGATGAACTATCCAATATCTGTGCCCGGACATGTTCATATTCTTGCTTCAATCCCAAGAGAAACCGTGTAACATCCAGATGCTCCCGCTGTTGTTTCTGAATCTTAATATCAAAGGTGAAGGCCTGATAAACATCAAATACATTCCTAGTGTTTCTCATACTAGCATAATAGTCCTCAAGACTTTGGTTCCCTTCTTGTAAATTGAAGTAATCATGATAGAGTTGATACACCCTAATAGTGTTATCTTGACCAGAATAGAGTTTCTTGGCATGCTCCCATATCTCTTTGGCAGAACCCAAGAACATAAAATTCACTCCAATTTTGGGCTCTATACTGTTCCACAACCACGTCATAATCAAGGCATTTTCTTGTTCCCAAATCACTATTCCTGGCCCATTCAGCTGATGGCTTGTCATCTTTCACATACTTTGCCATACCCTTGGCTCTCGAAAAACCTCTACTGACTTGGCCCATAGCATATGATTCTCACCATTCAGCTTAATAGATGTCATTTGCACATTAGCATAATCAGGTGAAATCACCACACTTGACTTCTGATCACTATTTCCTGATGTTGCCATAATGCTGTCACCACTACACAATCAACCCATTGGCAACCTGCAGCTTTACTTCACTAACAATTCACAAACCACACTTACTAGGATTATTATACCCACACTACTGCATCACATCAGCCTAATCACCAAGCACATAAAGCTGTCCAGCTCACACGCAGAAAATATTCATAGAGAAATATGATTACAACCAACTTGTAACACATCACATCCACCATTAAACAGAACCCCTGTTGGTGACTACCAGTAGAGTGAAAAATTAAACCACCACACTAGCACCAAATCTGTCACGCAATGTGACAGCAATTAATCAAACAAGAGGCCCAAAATAAAATCACCCCCACCTGTGTAATTTCAGGTCACCACCCAGATAGAAGGGAAGAAAAACCAGGAAAATGTCACAGCTTGCCCTAGATGAGATCACAACCTTCTCCAGACAAGTTTAGAGAACTCTCCAATGCTCTGATACCATGTAATAATGGTTCAGACTTCCTACTCTGTCCAGAAGTAGAAGGGAAACACAGCTACATTGGGTATATTCCAAGAAGAACTGAAGAAGAAAACTCGAGAGAATAGAAGAGAGAACTGTTGACTGGAGAGAAAAGAATGTCTCCCCAACCCAGTCAGCCAACTATTTATACTTTACTAAATCCAATACAATGACAACTATGTCCCTAATTAAGTATGGACCACAAAAATTAAAAGAGACTAATTACATTACAATAAAATAAAAGATAAAAGACTAAAACACCCGTGATTACTAAATATGTTGGCTGTTTACACTTGCCTACACCTATACCCATGTCACTCTACTGTGACAATGAGGCTGCTATTAACATAGCCCATAATCTTGTGTTACATGAGATAACAAAGCACATTGAAGTCGATAAACACTCACTTAATCAGAGAGAAACTTGAAAAGAGATAGATTGTAATACTTACATCAATTCAAATCAACAATTGGGTGATATGTTCACTAATGGTGTAAGATTCACTACTCTTATAGTATGTGGGTGCCTAAAGTACAAAAAATGGAGAAATGAATAAATTGAGTTTTTTTTTTTTTTTTGAATTCTTATAGCTTATCCTAAGAGCAATGAATCCTAGAGTGGTTCCAGGCATTCTACATTTTGTGAATTTGGGTTCTCTCTCTCTCTCTAATTCTACCAGCATTCATTCTTCATCAAAATTAATTTATTCAACATCTCTAAAGGACTAAAATTGAACCAGGCAGACTTTCTACTCAGTCTACATCTTTTAAATGACCTACACTAGAATAGCAAAACAAGAAGAGAGGAGAGAAGAGGAGAGAAGAAAAGAGAGAATGGAACGTAGAGAAGAAAAGTGTTATCTCAATCTAATTGACCCACTCCTTTATTATAATAACTGAAAACCAGAATTATGAAATTACCGCTACAGCCCTATTACTAACTATCAATTCCATACTACGTTGAAAACTAAACTACTCTTAATTTAAATATCTCCAACGCTCCTATAACTGTCATATACTCCAAACTTGTTACAAATGAAATCAGGTTTCCTCCAACTCAAGATGACAATTCCTAGTGTTGAAGTTTGACCTGCCATAGAATTCTGTCTTGTTCGTTGACTGTAGAGTAAAGTAGACAGCAAGAAGTAGGAGAG